GGAGTGTTCGTAGCCGGCGATAAGAGGTTTGAGTCTTCTCCGCAATTCTTTAGCCAGTCTGTAGGTTGGTGTACCGGGAAGCGAGACTATCGGTCGAAGTGGAACATTATTTTTGTGTATTTTTGGTAGTCCGTAGAACTGAGCCGTGTTTGAGTCGTTTGCTTTCATTCTCCAATGTTCTTCTTTGTTAATTTGGTGTAACTGTTCCAGACGTTTCAGCGTTGCGTTGATTTTGCTGGCGAGTTTCGAAGTCAGGTCTATGTTCATTTTGCGGTAAATGGTTGTGTCTTGGAGTAATTTGTTTGCCTTTCTGATGTAGTCTGTCTTGTCCATTACCACGGTCACTCTTCCTTTGTCCGCTGGGAGGATGATAATGCTCTTGTCGTTTCTCAGTGTTTTCATTGCTTTCTCCTCGGTTTTCGACAGTGCACTGAATGGTTTGTTTCGGGTCATGATCGGAACGATGGTTTGCCGTATTTGTTGTTTGGTGTTATTGGATAGCCCGGTGGCCTTTAGGGCATGTTCTAATTACGATAAGTATTCTTTCTTTGTCGTGTCTTTTGCATTGAAGTGAAGCCCTCTGGTGAGAACTTCTTTTTCTTCGTTTGATATTGGACTTGTTGAAATCTTACTGATCCAGGCGTCGTGTTGCTCAGTCTCTTTTTGCTTACACAAATTCTCAAGTTTCTTGGCTAATGACATCTTTCATTTTGCCGATGTGTGGTTCACTCTTCTCTGAACAGTTGATTGTAGGTTTCTCAGGGTTTCGTTGTCCACTATACTTGCGCAATTTATCATTTCTTCCCTCACGATGTTGTATTTGTGTAGTCGTCTATGAGCGTCGGTGATCATCATTCTGACCATGCTTCTACCATATCGCATTGCTATTTTCCAGGCTTCTGGGTGGTTGACTGGTGGTCGATGACCAATATGTATATATATATATATAGTTCAAATGTGTTATTTCAATAATTTTGTTTATTATTGATCCAGATATTTATATGCCTTTGATTTAAACCCACTAAACCCGTGGCTATTTTGTTATCCCCGTCTGATGCACAAAGAATCTACCATGGGATTTGACGGTAGATGTGAATAAAACACATCACGCAGATACCTTCTTCTGCAGTTCGTCTCACGAAACTAAGTGTATTAACTAATAGCTGCCAGGTATCTACCACCCAGCTAAAACTCTTGCGAGTACAATTTAAACATGGGTAGTGTCACTGACTTACCTAGGCACTTATCTTGCGAAGATTTTTAACGATCGATTCGGGGCGTAGGAATTGGAGTACTTAAACCATCAGTTGAAGATAGTTAAAGATTGAGCTTTGCGATCACATATTGATTTTGGTGAGAGGTTGAGCACACTGTGCTTTTGACGAACGCGGATATGTGGAATCACCTTATCATTCAGTTCGATCCAATGTCCTCTTCGAAATGCAAATTCGCTCTCCCTCATTAACATCTCATAGGTTATAGATGAATGGAACAACCATTACGTGACTTTATCACGGGTTTGGAAAATGTCATGAAACTGGTACACCCGATTTGTCTTAAAGTGATTGCCGTATAATGTGTAGTTTTTTCGATCGATAAATGACCAACAGATCTGTGAATAATCCACCAGTAAGTACGCACATTTCACGCGGTTGTTTTGAGATGGCACTTTGCCCTTGGCGTACATACACTGTTCTTATGGAAGTCACTCATTTACGTGCACATTGGTCATTACTGTGCGGAATCCGACGATGCAAAACAGATGAAAATCAAAACTATGGGTATTTGAGGGTGTGTGTGTGTTTATGTGAAGCGCATTAAATAGCTTTCTGTGTCATGGAAGATTCCCATAAGAATATCAAAAGACGAACACCATATAACGAACAAACTTGTGTTTGTAACTGCGTTTTCAGGCATTTATAGTTATGTGTGTTTATATCTAATGTAAAAATTAATCCGTTTGGTCCATTGAGGTTAAGTGTGAAAATACAACAATATCCGTCAAGTTTACTCGAAGCGACTGGAGAAACTGGGGGCGAAGCAGAACCAAGGTCACGTGCAACTTGTCACGCCATGTTGCGCCATCACGGCATGACTGAGGTTATGATTCGAATCGTCACGCAGGTTTGGTTGAGACCAAGGTAACTGGAGTGCGGCAACCATTTTCTTCTGTCTACACAGTGGTGGGGTCATGATTTTCATTACTACAGCTTCTGCAGTTGCCAAGTGATGTTTCCGAACTTGCTTCGATTTGTTTTGGGGCACTTTGTAAATGACTTTAAACGCACCGTTATCTGGCTGGTGCCCGGTATCGGCGAGGTGGGCCACAATCGCACTGGTTATTGTTTTCTTGCAACCCGTGCTAAACTAAGCCGGATTATGTTCTCTGATCCTTTGGGAGAACTGTCTCATCGTTCGTCCTACAAAACTTGCCGAGCATGTGCAAGTGAAGGAATATGTAATCGTGGATGAGGAG